ACGCCCAGAGCCGTCCTGGAGGAGTGGGAATCCAGCCTTGAAAATGAGTGAGTGGGTAACGGGATGCTCACTCGGTCTTGTGCTCCGCACTGGCGGTGCTCCCAGGTCTGACCGACCGCTTGGGAGCTAAAGGGGTCGCAGGAATTGTTCTGTTGTGCCTCGGAGCAAAGACTACACAGAGAAAGGTCTCGTGGTCACACCGAGAAACCTTTTCAAAGCCCGGGGATGGAGCCCTACTGTAACACCTTCTGTTTCTGTACCCAAGGCGTAAATGTTGTAGATGGATGTTGTATATAAACATTTAATAATAACATAAATAAACATTTAATTAGTTAATAGCGGTATTGCTTTTTAACTTTTTGTAAGTAAAACATAACTGAGAACTAATCCCGGAACCCCAGACTTTGTATCAGTAGGAAGACCTGCAAAGAAAAGTTTCTCTTGACTATCCACTGTCGATTCATCCATCTATTCAACGTTTCATACATTGCAATACAATGTATCCAGTATTTAAAACTCCAGATTTGTACAGGAACCCCAGCATATATTCTGTTGCCACCATACTTTTAAGCAAAAAATCTTGCAATTCAGAGTTTGCTTTGATCTCTGTTATTTTACCACTAAAATACCAATAAAATAACGCTTACCTTAAAATCAGTGTTTATTTTCAAGGCATAGTATTTCCTCATGTCAAAAGTTAGGCTACTTCTTTGCTGTTAGTACCTGAACATAAGGTAAGGTAATCTTGAAAACTTCTTCCTTCCCCTCTCTCTTGCTTAATGATTTAATAACTGATAGTGAAAACTAGTAACAAAGGCAAAAAAAGAGTAGAGTGCACTACTGAGACAGTATTTGTCTGTAAGACATTCTGTAGCCATCAACAATATGATAGTGTTTTCAGTTTTGGCTTATTTTTTTGGCTCCTTTCTCTAGAGTGAGAGCAGTCAAAGAAGAAATAAAATCTGGTAATGCTAACTTCAAAGAAAAAAAAAAGTCTGGTTCTAGTTCCTCCAGGTTTTGGTCTAGCAAATGAAATAGTTCATAAGCAAATTTAGGTCTGCATCATATACATCAGTTATTTTGGGTTATAAGCACACAGTAGGAATCTTATCCATTCTTTGCCTAAATAGACCACAGTGGCACAGGGAAACAAAGTCATTTGCCCATTTGCTGCAGTCTTGCTTACCCTAAGCTGTCTTCCATATTTGACCCAGGATTGCAAAGATACGGCCTCCAGATACAAAACTAATTTGTGGAATGTCATTTGCTGAGTATATGAGGCATTTGAAGATAATCTTTACATTCTAATACCTTCAGTCTGACTTGCTCATGGAATTTTACCTGAGAAAAGGGAAAGACCAGTAACAGTCATGCCTGAAACGCAATCTGACTAGGGAGAAGAATGAAAGGTTTCTGGGCAGAGGTGATATGTAGACAGTGCATGATACTGGTAAGTGTCGCTGGGGAGGAATTTCTTGTAAGCGATTCACTTTTTTACTAAGTTAACTGGCATTCTCTCATCAGCATAGTTTATGACATATCTGAGTCGGGGTGCATTAAACTAAACTACTCCATTTCAATTTGGTGAAGATTTTTCCTGTTTAAGACACTCCTAGCTTCCTCTTTTCCCATGTCCTTTCCTTTAATCTTCTTCCCCAACTCCCCATTACCAAATGGAAGGAGTGAACAGAGCAGAAACACCCGAGTTAATTTTTACGAGTTACCTGTTGTGAAACACCAAGCCTGAGGGATGTACTTCACTGCAGCACATGAACAGGATAGTAAGTTTAGATGCTGTTTACGTGACACTGTTGAAGTCTAGAAAGAAGTCTGGCTGAGAATAAAGTACATCATTTCTTACCCTCTTCCCCACTCCAGACCCTCCTTTCTCGCCTGGTAAAATGAGCATTGTGGGAGTAAATTTAGGTCTTGATCTTAATGACCACATTTAATTGCCACCCGCACAGATGACACCTGTCCTTATAAAAGGACAGGTCAGTTATCAACAGGTGCAGTAATTTAGCTTCAAACTTTTAAAAATGTAAAAAAATTAAAAAGTAAATGTATGGGAGAACTACTATTGTAATGGCTAGGCACAGTAGCTGTCCTACTTTCATTTATCTCAGTATTCACGTGAGTTCATTCATCTGTCTTCTGTTCCTTTAAGACAGTGAATTCAAACTACAACAGATCGAGCTGAAAATGAGATAAATATTACAGAATTTATTTTCTGAAAGTGTTCCCATATGAGTTATGCTAATTCAGTAAGATCAGTGATCAGGCAAGGGTGTATGGGACCATGATACTTTCTCAAGCATCCTTCCCATGGTTTCCTCTGCTGGTTTCTTTTGCCTCTGACATGCTTAGAATGACATACTGTTTGATCAGTGCTAGTTACAGTCAATGTTTTCTGCGAATAAAATGAACAATTTACATGGATAAAAGCGATATTTAAGTTGAATAGTACGTGTCTGCACCTATTGCACTAGTTACTCTTTATATATTGAAGATTCTTCTTACCACAACAGGGCCGGTAGGTTTCAGTATGAGTTTACATTTTGAAATATAAGTGGGCTGCTGCCATGAAAGAAACATTGGCTTACCAGACTCCCCGAGTCAACTTTAAAACAAAACCACAGACCTCTTATGCAAGGAAGTAAGAGTTTGTGTAGTTCTCTACCACAAGTACTGACTTTATTCTGATGTTGTCACATACTTATTTTGGTTTTAGGATCTGAAAATGCTTGTGAAAAGACTTCATTTATGTTTCTGCGACAAGAGTTGCCCGTGAGATTGGCAAACATAATGAAGGAAATAAGCCTGCTTCCAGACAACCTCCTAAGAACACCTTCAGTTCAGCTGGTGCAGAGCTGGTAAGAACAGTGTCATTTCATACCTTTAAGGGTGACCTTCTGCATATACAGAAATTGGAGGAACTCATTCTCTTCTATAGAACAAACATTTCATGTGCTCGTTACACAAACATCACTTACTTAGACCGAGTGAATATCCCAATCTGACATAAATCAGAAACTAAATGTACAGACTTGGAAGAAAACTTTAGGAGCAATTAAAGGGAATTAAAAATCATTAAGTATTGCAGATAGTCATGTTTATGAGAATTCAGTAAAAACAAAAATCCACCAGAACAATGTTTGGTAGGGGACTTACCTAAAATGAAGTTAGTTGAAGAAACCAACAGAAGCAGGCAAATGCACAAAATGCTTGCAAAAGACAGTAGAAACCATTTAAAAAACAGGTTATTGCAGAATGAGAGCATAGATGTGGAAAATAAGAAGAAAGAGCAATAGGAAGCTTCCAAAGCCAAAATATGTAAAGCAATTGAAAGAATATGAGGCTACTAAAATAAAAAGGACATCCTTTAAAAGTAAAAATTTGCTTTCAAGTGAGGAACTTACACATAAGCATAAACTTTTGCAAGATGAAAGCAAAACAAAGAGATTGCTTGGCAACTGCTAAAGGCACATGGCTATCTGGAAAGGCTTTTAAAGTTAAAGAGAATGGAAAATCTGCCAGTGAATAAGTGGGATTGATTAGATGACTGAATATAAAAAGAGCTATCAATGAAGATGAAGGCTTTTAATGAACCAGGAATGCTTAAATTCTCATGATGCTGAATGACATTGATCAGATGGGAAATGAATTCCACTTGGACAAATGCAAAGTAGAGCACAGAGAGGAACCTCCTCTCCCTGTATGTTTGCTTGCTTACAATAGAAAATGAAATGTTGGTATTTTTCGGGGGATATTTTTCTGAATATGTTATTTGATGGGCAAGAAGGCAAATAGTGTTAGGAATTAAGTAACAAATGGGGAGGGATATAATTGTACCACTGTGTTAGCCCATTATTCCTCTGAATTGCATGCAGTGTTAGTCACTCCATCCTGAACAGAAAAGACCAAAAGGGATAATCAGAGGGTTGGAACAATTTCTACGTGAGGAGAAACCAAATAGAATTCTTCAGCTTAGAAAACACACATCTAAAGAAAGAGATGGCAGAAATACTTAAATCATGAACAAGCTGGGAAGATTTTCTAATAACAGGAACTTGCTGGGGCTGCAAATAAGTGATCGCCTACTGGGTTTAAAACACAAGGAAGATCTTTTATGCATTCTAATTAAATTGTGGAATTCATTGCTCTGGAAATATTGGAAGAACACATCATGAATAGATTCAAAAGGATCTAACAGAATTCTAACAGGGTATAGGTCAATGGGATATATCAAATACAATGATTTGGGAAAAATGAACCTTGGAAGACCATAAATAGCTAACCAAAGGGATCTGGGGAAGCACATTACAGTTGGTCTTTGTCATGTTTCTTTTGTCTAAAGGTATGTCCAAAGTCTTCAAGAGATCCTTGATTTTAAGGACAAAAGCTCAGAAGATTCAGGGACAATTCATAGGTAAGGATTTGCTGTCACATATGTTAATATTATGTAGAAGGACTGCCAAGAAAATGATAGCTTAAGAAAAATTTCAGCTATCTCCAAACTTTACATAAGAATTGCAGTAATGTCACCCCTTGTCCCTAAAAGGAGGGTATGTTAAAACAAGAAACAAAGCACTTTTATGCCATATCATTCTGGTCAGGGTGTTTTTTCTCACACTGAAGAAGCTATGAATACATTGAACTTGACCAAATATTTACCAATTCCGTACTTGTAATGTTGGAACTTATGTATGGAACTTTTCACCTGTAGAGTCGGCTTGGTCAATTGCCAATTTACAGGTATGGGATGGTCTGCATGAAAGTGGTTGGCACAGTTTTCTCTTTTTCGTGGCAGCAATCAGGATAATAAATAAATAATCATTTTATAAGTAATCCATAATGGTTGATTACTGATAGTTTCAATGCTAGTCACTTGAAATATGCTGTAAAGACTGACCTGTCATCTTATTGCTGTAGGCAGACCTGTGATATTTCTGTACGTAACGGTCTTAATTTTTGTAGGCAGATATTCTGTTTGCCATAGTATTAAATTAATGTGAAAGTGAAATACTAACAATGTATTAATTCTAGTTTTACAGACACTGTGATAAAAATCCGGAATCGACACAATGATGTAATTCCTACGATGGCTCAAGGAGTCATAGAGTACAAGGAAAGCTTTGGCATTGATCCAGTGACCTCACAGAATGTGCAGTATTTTTTAGACCGTTTCTACATGAGTCGCATTTCAATTAGAATGCTCCTTAATCAACACTGTAAGTGCCATTGTAAAAAGGAGGGGAAATGACACCTGTATTATGTCAGTGTATTTTCCTTTCAAGTCCTTAATATGTACTTCAGTGCTTCTTAGAAGTACACTATTCGCCTTGTTATTTATAAACTCATTCTTAATACAATTCTTAAAATATTTATGAATAGTAGGCTTTCAAGTATGGTGAAGATTGGAATTACAGATTGCCTATAAATTTCTGTTTAGCAAAACTGAAGATACAAACTACAAATATAAAAATTATATTGGGTATTAAATAATATTTTCTTTTTTGGCAGCATTACTGTTTGGTGGGAAAATTAATCCAGCTCATCCAAAACACATTGGAAGCATTGATCCTAGCTGCAATGTTGTTGAAGTTATTAGAGGTAAATTCAGCAGATAAGAACAAGAATACTGAAAACGTACACGAATGTCTATACTGAGAGCCAATACATGTCTTGATATTCATATACTGTTTAGTTCTTTCCTACCTGGAGCAGAAGTTTCATTTAAAGTGTAATACAGTTTTGTCACTTTTCCCTATAAACCCAGTTTTTGTGAGAAAACACAAAATCTCCCTGACAGTGCACAGTGTTTTCAATTTTTTTCTTTTTGGCAAACTGTAAAAGAGAAAAAAAAGTGGAGGAGGAAATGTAACTTTCTGTGTCTTTACTACAGATGGCTATGAAAGTGCCAAAAGACTTTGTGATTTATATTACATGAGCTCTCCAGAACTCATCCTTGAAGAGCTGAATGGTAAGTGAATATGGGATGAGGCACTCTTGAACGTAGTGATGGCTTCTTCTAAAGTAGCTGGTGGTGAAATGTTCTCCTTCCACTTTTCATATAGTTAATGTGTTCTGTGTATCTACTGTCATAAATAGTTTTGGGGTTTGTTTGTTTGTTTTAAATCTGCCAGAAGGCTTTCCCTATTCCTCCCTTTAATTAGAAAACTGAAACCAGTAGAAAAGTTTTTGACAAAAGTTTTTTTAGAAAAGTTTTTGACAGTACAGCTGTTGATAGAACAGATTTTAGCAGCTTCCTTCCCTCCCTGAGGTTCCTTGCATGCCTTCACCCTACGCTGTCTGTTGCATCTTACCCCCTCTACATTTCTTGTGATACTTCTAAGATTTATACTAAACATTCCATTCTAATTTCTCTTTCTTATTCAGCTATCATGTGCTTGTAGTTGTAATTAGATGTGATGCACTCGAGTCATGGTAAAAATTATTTTAACCCATTGGCTGTGACTTGAAAAAGCAGTTTACAACTGCGTTGCTGTGAACTCAGAGGTCAGCTATTGTCCTCAGAGTTCTGCTGAATGCTAAAGAGCCTTTCTGACACTGCTCGCTAGAGTACTTTTCAAGACACTAAATGCTAAGTTTGGGCAGACCTACAAAAACAAGTCATGAAATAGCTTCTGCAAGTAATTGCGAAAGTCAAAGTGCAACCACACTAACTTGAGCTATGAAGCTAAAGGCAAAGATAGTGTGGCCCTGACTACACATTCCAGATCTTTCTTCCTACTGTACCTGTCATTCTGTATCTAGGTTATTCTGTATCTAGGTTATCTCTCCATCTTTGGAGCACGATAGTAAAAACATTTGTAGGATTGCAGTCATGCTAGCTAATTCTCTGTACTGAGGAGTCATTTAATGGTGCTCCAGAAGCCAGAACAAATAGTTCAGTTTTTATAAAAGGAGTGACCTTTTGCTCAACGAATTGTGAAGGTGAGTTAAACCTGATCCAGGCCAAATGCACATTCCTGGCCCACAGCTGAGGGTGGAGACCATTATTTAAACCTTAGGCATGGGATCAGGGGGTGGAGGCATGGAAGGAAGCAGTTAACCTGAGGACAAGAACCTGACATATTTCAAAGTGTGATTCTCCACACACCCTCCACCCCCACTCCCCCTTTTATTTTTGCTGGGTACATAATTTGTTCTAGATCTTTTGACATCACTAGTCTTCAACATTTATGTTCATAAAGCACTGGTTGCTAACACAGCCTGGTGGGAAATTATTAATTTGTTGAACTGAAAGAACTTTAAGAGCTAGCAGAACTTTCTGATCAACGTTTCCTTAATTTTTGATATAATGAACGTGTTCCCATGATATATTTTCTACAATTTATTCTTTAAAAAATGTTTGAGAACTATACCAGTTTTATAGATAGAATTGTCTATATTGTTAAGGTTTCTTGTTAGAAATCAGCTGATTTCTAAATGAATACTAGAATAGGCTGTGCTGTAGTTACTATTTGGTGCATTATAGGATCATAAGATAATTCAGGTTGTGAGGGATCTCAGGAAGTTTCTAGCCTGACCTCCTGCTCGAAGCAGGGACAGCTACAAGGTCAGATCAGGTTGCTCAGGGCTTTATCCAGTTTGGTCTTAAAATCCTCCAAGGATGACAACTACATAACATCTCTGGGCAACCTGTTTCAGTGTTCAGTTGTCATGGTGAAAAAGTTTTTCTCTATATCCATTCTGAACCTCTGTTATTTCATCTTACACTCACTGTTTCTTGTTCTCCCACCACCTGAAGAGCCTGACTCTATCTTCATGATAAATTCCTCATCGATATTAGAAAACGACTATTATATGCCCTAACCAGTGATGCCATAGTGGGTTTTAAGATTAACTTCCAAAGCAGCAAAGCACATTTGAAAGTCTTGAATATGACTTTCGATTAACATACAACTTTTCAAAAGATTTCTGTTCACATTTTCCTTCTCTTGTAAATTCTCTCAACAATACAAACGTACATTTTGAATTACTGCAGGAATGAATAAAAGAGACCTAGTTTTCTATTTAATTATTTAGACCCTCTTTTCTCCAGCTAAATCAACAGGACAGCCCATGCAAGTGGTGTACGTGCCATCGCATCTCTATCACATGGTTTTCGAACTTTTCAAGGTCTGTGTGCTTACCATTACACAATTCTTTTATACACCTTTGTTTAGTGAGGTTGTATTTGTTTGACTTTTTGAACCAATTCTAGATAGCAGCATGTTTTTGCAAGTGCAAACCTATTGTTATTTGACTGCAGGAAGATACCTAAATTGTACTATTTAGACAAAGAGTAACTGCATAGAAAATGAACAGCTTTGGAAGATGTATCTCCTTTGCCTAGCCACTGAATACATCTGACACCTTCTCAGTAGACAGCTTTGTAAAAAAATCTTAAAACGTATAAAGACATTAGTTAATAAAACAAGTGAGAATAAGACAGACAATTTCTGGGACATCTTCAAATCTGGTATAATGTGTAACAGGTCCTACAGAGCTTTCCTCAAGCAGTTCAATCCTAGACTTTTCTTGATCTTCGTGTCGTATTGCATTGTAAAGAATTCTACGAATAAAATTGTAGATTAAAATATTGTTTCTTCTCAAAAAATTAAATATTTGCACTCTGTGTAGTCTAATAAACTATATTAATACCGATACTGAATAAACCAGAAATTCTGAAACAGGTGATAAAAAGAACTTTCCTAAATTGATGTTTTAAGATAATAAACGAAGTGGTAAGAACAGAGTTTAAGTTATACTTGAAAATTGCAGAATGCAATGAGAGCTACCATGGAACATAACGCTGATCGATGCATTTATCCTCCAATTCATGTACACGTCACATTGGGAAATGAGGATTTAACTGTGAAGGTACCCACTTTTTTGATTCTTTTGAAGTTTATTTTGATTAGGTTTTTTCCCCTCTCATAGGCAGTGTATTACTAAGTTTAGCTGGTGATCTGGTTCCAACAATAGTTTGTATGTGATGATGTAGTATGTAAGTAACAAGATCATTATGGAATTTCACATACTGCATCAGTAGGAAATTCATGGTGAGGTTGCACAGTCACACTGAAGGCTCTGCGATAGAAGTCTCTGCTTTTGTCATGTTCATGTCTTGCCTAGCTTATAAGCAACCACGACTAAAATACAATAGCATCTTTATACAGTTGTAGTATCAGCATTTTCTACGTGACAATGACAGAGCTGTACAGGTGTGAAACAACTGAAGAAAGGGAAATAAACATTGTATATTCCATGCAAATCAAACCTCTCTAAAGTACAGTTTGCAGAGGAATTTCTTCTTTTTCAGTACAACATCCATGTTGGATTTCAAAGACCAACTGCAAGCACTGGCTTTTTCATAGGTCTAACTAACTAAACCGTAGCAAAAAAACCGCTTCTGACTTACTCCTTCAGTAATAGGTTTTACTAGATTGTATTTAACTGACAGTATTCCTGAGGAATAAAGATAAAAATACAGAGAACCTGGCATTTGCTAAAAGGTACAGATGCTGACTTGAGACAAAATTGAGTTATGAGCAAGATACAAGCAATGCACAAGTAGCATTTTCTTGCTTCCAAGAGATTATGAATGCTTCTTATGGTAGTATTTTATTTAAATGGCTTTAATAAGTAATGAAAGGAAAGGATTCATCTCTTTCTCTGGTTATTGCTGCAGCTGAGAGATGAGAATTTAAGAAAACTCATAATTTAATAGGGACAACTTTATATTATGTTTTACCTGAACTTCCTCTAGATCATTGAGAGAGTCTCTCTTTTATAAAAATGTATTCAGCGACGTAATGCTACATGTTCCTTCTTGTTCCAGATGAGTGATCGTGGTGGAGGTGTTCCTATGAGGAAAATTGACAGACTATTCAACTACATGTATTCAACAGCACCACGTCCACGTGTTGAGACGTCACGAGCTACACCTTTGGTATGCAAATCTTTTATACCTTGTCATCTTGGATATGTTTAATTGTCAAAAAAGAAGTCATTTAGCCAAAGCTATGAAGTACTGATTATATAGATACAATGAGTATCACCTTTTGGATCTCATAATTCAAATATTTTTTTCTGGAAATTACTGGAAAATAGCATAAAATCTTAAAATACTAAAAATTATTTAAACTTGTTCAAGATTCTGTTTTTCTTTATCAAATATAAAGATCAGGTACCTCAAGCAGACCACTTAGCTATGCTGTGTGTACTGCAGTCAGGTTAGGACTCTGAATTCTTTTTGTGGCCACTGAATGAAAGGAAAAGTAATTATAGCAATGATTTTGGATCAAGTCTATGGTTTAATTTGTACTGTGTAGTCAGTTGTACCATCCCCCAGCAAGGATGCAGATGTGACAGGGCATATGAAGAATCTACTTCGGTCTCGTGTGAACTTAACAGATGCACAAGAAATAAAGCCTTAGGTCTCAGTAAGAAGCTCTGAACAGTTTTCCCAAATTTATTTTCTCACATGCCATCATTCAGAATGTGTTTTTTAAATGTATATAGTGTTCCGCATCTAGATGACTGTGCAATTTATTAAACACTAGATCTTTACAGAGAAGTGTTGGGAATGTTCATTGAGTGATAACCTCTAAAATTTAGTAGATTAAAAAAAAAATTATACTTAACATTTCAGGGCTATGTCCTGCTACTGCAGACAGGGCTTGACAGAATTTTAGTGTAAGCTACAAATTCATAGATGTTGCTTCTTGAACCTTTTTTATATATACTGAAGATTAAATGCATCTGACTTAAGTACTCAGGGTTCTTAAGATTAGCAGCTCCACGAGGCATAAGACAGACTCGGTACAGTTTTCTCTAATGGCATCATCTCTTATTGAAAAAGCTACCATAATACAAGAAGTGTTATCTAGCAGCCCTGTCTGACAAAGGAATAAAACTGTTTTCTTGTAGTCACAATCATCCATGCATTCCTCTGTGTCTGGGGGCATAGTAAGTTAACATTTGAACTCCTCCTCTTACTGTCCAACATCATGCTTAGTTTGTCTGTTTACCTATTAAGTTAAATCAGAAAACACCACTGATTGATGCAATTAATGAAAATACACTTTTTCTCCCGGATCAGGCTGGATTTGGTTATGGCTTACCCATATCACGTCTGTATGCACAGTACTTCCAAGGAGACCTGAAACTGTATTCCTTAGAAGGCTATGGTACAGATGCCGTTATTTACATAAAGGTATGATCTAACACTTTTTACCATTTTAAATTTATCAGCAACTCTAACCTAACTGCCAATGGAACTCCTGTTACTAAAACTTTGATTAAAAAGAATAGTCAGCTACAGTCTTCTCTACTTACAGGCCTTATCTACAGAATCAATTGAAAGACTCCCCGTATATAACAAAGCAGCCTGGAAACATTATAAAGCAAACCATGAAGCAGATGACTGGTGCGTGCCAAGCAGTGAGCCAAAGGACATGACCACCTTTCGCAGTATATAGCTTTTTCCTCAGCAGTTCCTAAGAAGTAGGTATGTCTGTAAAGGGAATTTAAAAGACCTGATTTACACCAGGATGCTGAGTCATATGTGAAAATAATTTTAAGTGGAGTAACTCTCTTCTGGAATTAAAAAAAAAAAAAAAAAAAAAAAAATCAAACAAAACCCAAGAGAACCCCCAAACTGTACATACTTTTAAATTTTAAGTGAGAAGGTCACACTTAATTTGTTCCACTTTCAGCAGCTAAATCAGGGGAGCAGTAATTTCAGGTTTTCTAGGGAGGAATGCAATCTATTTCATATCTGGTGAGAAATGTATTAATTCATATAATCACAACGGTTTTTTAATAGATGAACTATTGAGAAAGCTCACCAGAGCATTTTTCCATTATAGAATATTACAGATTAATGAAAAACTCATGCCAGAAATACTGAGGCGTTCATCGCTATACCTTTGCACCCGTATGGCACTTTCTCTTCTTTTACCTTAAGCATGCTGAAGCCTAATTTTGCAACGTTAGATGCGTTGCCTATATCCAGGTTTTCTGGAGCTGTAGAAATCACGTAGGTCTGTAGGGATAAAAGAAAAATCTAGCTGCTGCCACTGGTATAATGTATCTCAGGTATCAGTCATATTTCTTTGGTTGTAATGTGAATATTTAATACATGTGAGAAACTTCTCTTGCTGTGATCATTGTGAATTAGCAAATAGCGTTGGCTTGTGTAAAGACATGCTGTCTTGCATTTGCTTATATTTCTGTAGGCAATACCAAAACACGGTATCAATGTTCTAGCCCTAGTGAGGTCTCAGGCACTGGGGTATGTCAGGTTACAGCTGTAAATGGAAACTATTTTATTAAACAGATTTTTTAAATTTGCTCTTACTAGGGCATCTCTATTACTTTGACAATAGAAGCTACCTTCTCAGGAGTATTTAAGAAAAAGTGGAATTAACAGTTTTTGAAAAATACCTTTGTATTTGTGATGTGCTTCTGGCCTTGTTTATGTAGTAACTGGAAGTCACCCTATAACATAAATAAGGTAAGCAGAACGTGTTTATCAGTCAAAGGCAAACTGTCAAAACATACCAGAAAGACAGAGACGGGAATGAGTATTACATTTCAGGTACAAAGTCCTTCTTTTAATAAAGGTTTCGACTTCTTTTAATGCCTATTGTGCCAGCTTTGTTCAAATCATACACACCTATGTTGCACCTCGATCTCTGTCATTCCTGAACATTTTAGGAGTGATGCAGTTAAATACACTGAGAACTAATCCTTTTCTCAGTTAATTCATTGCATGCAATTCTGTGATGTTTGTTCTGCAGCAGACATGCGTAATCCCTCTCAGAAAGAATAAGCATAAACTTTGCTAGTTTACTGGCTCTGCACAGAGCAGAAGGTGATTGAACGAGTGAATAGTTTGCAAGTTAGAAACTGAAGTCATGCTATTCTAGTTGTAGCTGAGCCAGATGAAAGATTATCACCTGCTGCCTCCCTAGCCTAGTTCTGCAAAACACTAAAATGGTTTTATACCCTGGTCAAGCTAATGAAGGTCACTTTAACAGGAGTGATTTACAGAATGGGCTATATACACAGTTAGACTGACACTCCGAGGGAGGATTCTTCTTGCTTAATTGCCACCAGAATAGTACAGTTACCTGCTTCACTCAAGCTTGCGGGCACTTTGAGAGGTCCCTTGTAAAGAAGAAAAATAGGATGCGAGGTGGTGACTGGCATACCTTCACTCCGCATGGCTACAAGCAAGGAGAATCTATAGCTGTTCTCTTCTTCAGCCCTGCAACAGGATGCACGTGAGAAATTCCACACATTGTCAAATGGGGCCTGTATAAAAGCTAGGGAGGGTGCTGGCAGCTATCGCTTTTGCTAAACTAAAGATGAAAGTTACAGCAAGGGATTTTAAAAACTGAAATTTCTAGCTTTTACGCTAAGTTTTAAATGTTTAACTAACTTAACTGAACTGATTTTAGTAATATCTGAGAACTACAAGAGACATTTCTGATGAAAAGCTAACAGTTTGTTTTCTAGAAAATCTATTAAAGTATTTCATGTGGTTTTATTGAAAGAAAACCTCTTTCATGCTCTCAGCTAGCTACTGATTGAATTCTGATTATTAGAACAACTTCCTGTGTAATTGCATTTATCTGTCTCCTCACCCACCACCCCAAATGATTGTGGTGAAAACACAAATGTAGTAATATTTTGCTTTACAATGTTTTACTCTACTTACAAGTTTGATCTTTGATTACTTCTGATTTAAATAGAAGTTCAGAAGCTAATTTTTGTGTTTAATATTGTCATTACTGTACTGAAGTCATTGCTAGCACACTGGTTAAGTTGAAGTGAATCACTGTAGAAAATCAGTATACTAGCTCAGCTATCAAAATGCTGAGATTAATAGTTTTGTACGCAAATGAGCTCAGTCTTGCACTGTAAAATTAATCTTGGTTTGTGTTAACTTTATTTTTTGAAAGAATCACTACATTTATTCATTAAAACTATTTTAAAAATTAAACTTTTCAGTTGGGTGATTTTGTGGCTTGGTACTAAGGTAGTTCCATGGAGCCAGCCTTCTCATTTAGCATCTGACAGATGTTAAATGCTGTGATCTGTGATAATCACTGCTGTTATGCTCAGGTGCCAGGCGAGTTTATCATCCCTGCTATGGCCCCTGTTTAACTACAACAGCTCTGCACACGGACAAACCTTTGAAACCATTATTTCCATTAGTCTCCTTCCTGAGAAACAAACTCTTCACAGGGTGCAACATTCAGTTCAGTGGGCTCAAAGGAAAAAGCTAATACATGGTTATACTGATATTACCTGTTCTAGCTGAAAGCACTTCACTGAGAAATAAACTTCCTTGACCGAATTAATTGAAGGGTGGATTTATGTGTGTGATCCTAAGCATTTTCTCATTCCGTACTTCTAATTCCCTTCTCTTTTATCAGTAGGGCAGCATTCCTCTCTGGCTCAAGGTCTATAAGTTTGGAGTACAAACCTGAAGCTACTGGAAACAAAGTAAATAAGAAACAATTTGGTCAAGATTTAACTTAATGCACAAAACTGAAAATAGAACCTCTTTTTAAAAGTAATTATTACCAAGATTTTCAAACTTTATTTTGGAAATGCATAGTGCGCAGAAGCATTTCCACACAGTCCTTTTGCTGAAATTCATAAGACATTTATACAAAAAAATAACAACTGTGAAACACCAACAGTGAAGTTCATTCATTTAATTAAAATGAAAAAGAGTCCAGAGATTTAAAGGAGAACTTGGTCCACATAAACAAATTATGTAAGTTTTGTTCTAGTCCATTCTATGGTGGAATTATTTAAGCTAGTCTATGTTTCTGGAATAATCTAATTAAAGGAAGTGCTGTTGTATAGTATCTCTAGAAAATTTATGTAAATATACAAAACACCAATTCATGTTCTAAACTATTCTGGGAATCAAATCCTCCTTTAAAGAGAAATAATCTGTAGTCTACAATTGAACATTTAAATACAATGCAGAAACCCAGTGCTTCGGTGATAATTTTTCCTACAATTCTTCCCTCAGTATTTTAAGGTTGAAAAACAGTATAGTTTAAAATTAGCAAATATATAAATTTGGTCCACAAAGATCTTGTAGCAGGTAGAAAAGAGAAATACATGTATTGCAAATTGATCTTATTCATAGCATAAATCTATAAAACTATGCATTATTTAGGAAAAATAGGTTAAAAAAGATCTTATTTATAGGTTTAAACCTTGTCCCAACACCATACGGGCAGTGTACAGAAAATTTAATATTATGCTTAGTATATGTAGTTTGTGAAAACTACTCAATATTTCTTGTTATTTTCTCAGTAAATTGCAACACATAGAATTCAAAAACAATGTGCTACTACAGTGAACTTTGAATGAAAATCCCAGAAATACAAGAATTTAAACAAAATAATCAATAAATTTGAAATACATGCTTTCTTTTTAAATTAACTTGACATTACCATTTTCTTAAACTTAATTTTTACTATACATCTTTAGTGGCAACAGATAAACAGACTGTCACAGACTGAATTTGTTGGCAGGATTTTTCTATTGTCCCTCTATCAGATTCAACTCTATCAAATGCTAGTTGACTAATATTGGAATGATTTTTAATACAGTATTCTACTTTTCACAAACATCAATTTCAATGAAAAGGGCATATGAGGTCTCGGAAGCACAAATATTACTTAAGGCAGAAAGTTAAATTATTGTCTATTAGTACAGGCAGAGTCAACTAGGAATAAAAAAACCTGAAAACATTATTTCACTTTATTGGGTTGTAAAGGGGAGAGACCATAATTA